ATAATTTAGATCCAAAGAGCACAAACAGTACAATCGGGAAGAATACGAGCTTTTTCGAAAAGGGCAAGAGAACAGAACAGCCCGTAACGCGCCCAAACGCAGGCCTTCTTCGGCTGCCTGTACCCACGCCGTCGTGGGCAGTTCTAACAGAATGTGCCTGCACATTGCGAGCGTGTTATGTGTGTGGATTTACGAGAACTGCCGGCCACGTGTTGTGTAATCTTTCTACAGATGGAGTGTCATTCACACAGTTCCAGTAGAGGAGTGGAAGGGCTATTCTTGGATTCACACACGATCATGCAGTGTTCCACACCCACACTTGTCACGCAGATACTCCACACACTCCTGATTAGCACTCATTTGTATACACAGTATGTTCAAAAGTATCTAGACACACCTTCTCATTAGTGCATTCGGCTGCACCCATTGCTGACACAGGCGTTTAACTGCTTCTTTAATCTCAATAGAAAAGCATTGACCAAGTAGAATGGGATGCTCTAAAGCAGCCACACATGAGCCTAAAATTTGCATGCCCAGTGCCAAGCGTTGACTAGAGGGCCCAGCACTGGGCTGTGGAGCAGTGGAACTGTGTTCTCTGGAGGCCAACCTTCTGATAAATCGTCCCACATCAGTTCCTGACCTCACTAAAGCTGTTGTGCGCTCAAATGCTCCATGTTCCAAAGCCTTAACGGAAGAATAGAGGCTGTTACTGAGTGGTGTCTACAAACTTTTGGACACATTGTGTACTTGCTAAAGGAGTGCTACAGGATTTTCAGCCTTGCTTAAAGCGAGGCTGTGGCATCTACATAGGTTTATACAGCAGGCTGAGCACTTTTGTTAAAGCTCTTTCACACAGGAAGTAAAACCCAATGTTGTACCTCACGTAATTCAGTTTGTGTGTATGATTGTACACTAAGTACAATTCTAAATGTTAATTGTTTTCCATCATAAATGCCACTCGGTTACTGAATAGCTCAGCCACAACCCTGACCTAACACACCTACATCTAGTATTCAGCAGATTCTGAATGCTCTGATTAGCTGGATTAGGTGTGGTCAATTTGCGAGGGCTTAAAAAAAATTACAGCAGTGTTTATTTGGCTAGAGTGGATCTCTCTGGTCAGATAAATCACATGATTACCAGTAAACCAGATTATACCAGGATGTATTTTTACTTCACTATGACTAGCACGGTACTTAGAGGTAGGCCTGGCCTCCTGACATAGTTAAAATACTTCCATTTCTCTGATAACGAAACCATTAGCCTTCTCTCATCCTGTCAGTCACGAGGATGTTTCAAGGCATCTTGCTCAAGATGGGCGTGAGCCATTAGCGCCGTAGTGTATGACATCAAACCAGCGTTAAAGGCGGATTGCATCATAATATTATCAACTCTGGCCTTCCGTTCAATTCGTTTCGAGTAAAATTCTGGACGTGGGTTTCTCTGGGTTGCATCATGCAAATATTAGCGATGTTAGCTTTCAGTTTCATTCCGTTCAACCCAAAACTGGAGGCAGGTTCCTCTGGATTTCGTTCTAATATGAGCAGAATTTAATGTTTAATTCAAATCCTTTCAGAGCAAGATGCTGGAAGCAAGTTCCTCTGGATTACAGCAAGCGTTCAGTTCAGAAACTTGGAGGAGGGATCCTCTGGATTATGCCCTGATCAGTTAGCGCCATTAGCTTTCAGTTAAATTCAGTACAAACCAAACTGTAGATGTGGGTTCCTCTGCATTACGAAAGGCTAATATTAGCAACAGTAGCTTCCAGTTCAGTTCAGACTGAAACTCTGAAAGTGAGATCCTCTGGATTACATGCTAATATTAGCAACAGTAGCTTTCAGTTTATTTTGAACAGTAACTCTTGAGGAAGGTATCTCTGGATTACAGCACGCTAGCATTAACAGCGTTAGCATTTAATTGAAATCTGTTTATCCTTATAGTCATTATAGTGCAGTGAAAGCTCATTCACTGAACTCTGCAACGTGTGTCGTGAGTACAGTCTCTAATATCTGCAGTCTGCTGTGTGTGGTTGGGTTTAGAGGGGAGATCTGGGGTTGGAAGGTCTGCTCTAGTGAGTTATCTGTGAGGAACACACGCACTCGCCCGACAGCAGCATACACCCCTGAATACACACACACACACACACACGCTTATAGGCCTGTATGCCAGGGCTGTAGATACGGGGGGCCTAAGGGGTCCTCCAATGTGAAAATGTCCTCCAATGCTGGTGAAAGTGTAACTATGTAATCCATCTTGGCTCCTATAAGGTTGAACCCCAAGGCGCTGAGTCTTCGCATCGTCGTGCCTTTATTTTCACCTTACACACACAACAGATAACGAGCACCAGAGCTGTCCTTTAATCACAGCGGCAACATTTGCACGGCTCCCATCGCGTAACATCCCATTTAATTGAAATCAGATTTATGTGTAAAGTGCTGCGACGTCTGAATACTGGAGGTTAGGGAACCAGCCGTGTGACCGGAAGGTCGCCGGTTCGATCCCCTCGGTTGACAGTACGTGACTGAAGTGCCCTTGAGCGAGGCACCTAACCCCCAATTGCTCCCCGGGCGCCGTGGATAGGGCTGCCCACCGCTCTGGGCAAGTGTGCTCACTGCACGGATGGGTTAAATGCGGAGGTCTAATTCCTCTGTGTGCAAAACACAGTTGGCTGATGGTTCTGAATTCGGTTCAGTTCAATACAGTATTTCCCCTTCTTGACTGTCTCTGCAGACTGAGGGGTCTCAGCTGGGCTGTGCCAGTGCCAAGCATAGACGATAACACAGCTATTTCACCCCCCTCTCCTCTCATTATGGTGGCTAGATTGTGGTCGTCAACCATCCTATGGCGATGTCTCTGATACCTAATGCTCTAGGTGGCCCCCTCAACGTGTAACCAGCACAAAGGCTATTCTGGTGTATATTTGAAAAGGACTGCTCCAAAAAATCCACGCGCCACTAAGACAGTGAGCTGAAAGCATGAAGACACTGAGTGGACGTAAAAGCGAACGGCAGCAGTAGCTGTCCAGTATTGCTAGCTTTATTACCAGCATTATTAGCTTACTATGCTACAAAGCGTCCACATTCGTAGCACTAGCTTGTTGATAAAGCCGATTGTTTGGTTACCTCCTCTTTCTGTCCATTAGTGTCTTTCAGTTCATGAAGTAAACATATCACCTGGTTGAGAGTGACTGAATTGCTATGAGATGTTTGCAAATATCCCCATGCTATTCTAATTAAAGCCAAAATAAACGGTTGTTTTGTTTGTGTATGGTCAGCAATGGCAAGCTCTTCCGTCCATTTTGTAGTAGCCATTTGTGATAATGGTAGTGGGTCATTCTACAGAAACATCCACTTTTTTATCTATGCATAGGAGTCACTGGTGTTACTGATCCTCATTGGTGTTACGCGTAAGAAAGGTAACACCAGAGACATTTTAATGAAAAATGCATTTTACTAAACGGCTGCTACAGCTAAAAGCTTCATATGAAATCATGAGCTGAATGAGAAAATCTCTAACTGAAAGACTCAGTGGACTCACCATGTGCTTTTCTTCATAGATCCTCAGAAAACAGGTAAAAGGAAGTCAAGTGATGTCATCAGTGTGACTTTTATTTCAAAATAAGAGATTTTTTGTTACGCAGTAACACCAGTGACACGACTCCTGGGGACAACAACTTTCATTATATATTTTATAATATTTATTTGGCATTTTGTTTTCTTCATGTCTTTAAATCATATATTTCATAGTCATGTATAGATTATTGTATTTAAAATTGCATAAAAACATGTTGATTACCTCAATATATGGCCTCAGCCTTCACACATGACTGTGAGGACGAGCTCTTCTGTGGTGCTTGGAATTCTGTACGATTGATTTAAAAACCAATATTGATAAATTGAGGTGAAGAAGGTGCAATTCTTAAAATAACATTTTTTTATTTTAAAATGATAATAAATTGTAACCCTAACATGTTTTTCAAGTGTAACATATCTGTAATCGCAAAGGACACAAAAATGGACGTTTCTGTAGAATGACCCTAGAAACGAATTGGCCAGGAACATCCTGGGCAGTTTTCTGCATTCGAATGTGCATTTTTTCCCTGTAAATTCAACGAATATTCAACAAATGCCGCATATTTATTTTGCCAGCCCTTCCTATAAAGACATCCCCCGTCCTGCGTCTCTGTGTGAAGGGCTGTCCATGTGTCTGTGCCCTGTTTGTTACACTCGTACTCTGATAAAATCTGCTTCTATCTTTACTGGCTAGACAGGAGAGCAGTGTCTGTGTGTGGGGGTGGGGGTGGGGGCGGGGGTGGAGAGACAGTACATACACGTAGTTCTGATAAGAGAGAAGAATACAGACAGAAAGGACCTGATAAGAGGTGTACACACAGATAGTGATCTCTCTCTCTCTCTCTCTCTCTCTCTCTCTCTCTCTCTCTCTCTCTCTCTCTCTCTCCTGCACACTTTTCATGCAGGGCTCTCCTCCAGTCTTCGTTGTTCATATGAACATATCAGTGTCTGCATGCCAGACTGCCAGACTGTGTGTGTACGCATGATATTCACCCTCAACCCAAATCTAGTCAATGAAAAGGTACAAATACGAACTTTTCACCTGGAAAAACTTATTTAAGGTTCACAATCAGACCTTAAAACCACTGTTGTACCTTTTGAGGGAACATTTACATTGTTTGTACCTTGATGAACGAGAAATGTATCTGCACAGAACCTTTATTTCTAACAGTGTCACGTAGTTTTTGCACCATTCAACAATAAAGGAAGCCTTGTGCATCTTTTCTTTTTAATGAGAGAGATAATAATGCTTCCTTTAGTCCAGAGTGCGGATTAAGAAGGACTGCAGCCTTTTCCTCGGCCCGTACAGTCGTGTTTACAAACTGTTTTTGTGATAAACATAGTATTGCACTATCACAGTCAGTTTATTTACAGTGCCGAGGCTTGTTTATAGTCGTTTCATTCCGAGTTGTGTTTGTGTGTTTACAGACGAGCCCACCTCCGTCTGTGTTTGGAGCGATTGAAGGCTCTCATCCCGCTGGGACCAGACTGCAACCGTCACACTACACTGGGCCTCCTCAACAAAGCAAAAGCACATATAAAGGTAATACATTCACACACACAGAGGACTGTTTCTGAACAGTTGGGGGCCCTAATCTTACTTGGGGTGGGTATCGTTATATTTTGGGGTTCGTTATATTTTGTATGCAAAATGAAAGTGAATTAAAGAGCTCATATCCTCCATTTTTCTTGTATTTTATTTTTTTCCCCCCAGAAATCTCACTTGTATCATTTGTGTGGGTCCACATCCGAAAAACAGTTGTTGTTCACTTTAACAGGACCGTTTTCTAACCTCTCTTTATCCCTAATAATTAAACAGGCTGTTTTTGTTACTGTGCCCTTAAGACTAATGTGTGCAACTAAGCTCAGTTCTGATTGGCTGTGCTGTATTGTGCATCAGCATGGGCTGGAACACTCCTTATGACTTCAGCATTAATTAGCAGGGCTAAACTGTTGCAGGCTGAATAGGTGGATATATATAAATGTGTTTGACATCACAAAAACAATTAAAAATCAGGCTGTTTTTATGGCTAGTTTTCCGTATATGGACTGTATACACATAGTACATCAAACATTTTAATGGGCCCATATTATAGAAACAGACATTTTTCCTCACTTTTGTGTAAAATGAGTTTGATGTAGCACCCAAAGCTTGCTAAACAGTCACTCTTTATTCCATACAGCCCCTATATGATAAGTAATCCGCAGGAACGGCTTATTTTTAGTTCACTTTTTTGTGATGTCACAAAAACAGCATATTTGGATATATATCTGTTGCCAGCCTACAGCAGTTCAGCCCTGCCCATGCATGCTGTAAGCTGCAGCTATAAGGAGTGTTTCGGCTCATATTAGTTTTGAATGAGGCTCAATACAGAGCAGCCAATCAGAACAGAAGTAATTTGCAGTTATGTCGGTCTTAAAGGCACAGTAGCAACAGCCTAAGGCAGGGGACGGCAACTTGCAGCTCGTTTCACTCTTTCTTTTTCCTAAATAATCCTCCTTTGCAGTAGAAAAACACAGTTTTAACAATAAGTGGTCTTAAATGTTGGAGTTAATGAGTAACTGCTAATTCACCCTTTAACTCTGAAGATTGGCAACAGACTGCTGGACATTGACGATTTGGAGATGAATGGACTTATTTGCATTTATAATCACTCCAGCTGGTTTCCTGATACGTTTAATCTGCAAACAGAAACTGTCAAACACTAAAAAGTCACGAAGCTGAAATCAGCTTCTCATTCGCCAGCTTCTTGTTTGAATTGTCCCATTCCCACCTTAAATGGTGTTGCAGTTACATTTTGGCGCATGAGGCGCCATTTAAAGTGGAACGGGAAAATTTGAACAAGAAGCTGCAAGTGAGAAGTGACTTCAGCCTCATAAAAAAAGTCGAACGTTGAGAGACATTTTACAAGAAACTGTTCTACTTCTGTGGAAAATTTTCCTGCCGGAGATGCGAGAAAAGCGGCTGTAGCTGAGCTAAAGCTTAAAGCAGAGCAAAGTTGGTCTGCGTTTCATTTAGATTTTTATCCTATACTAGTACATCAGCACATAGAGACATATTTACATCCAAGATGGTAAAGTAGACATAAAACGTTGTGGCTCACCAAGATGGTTTGACTTTTGTTGAAAGGACAAAATGGCTCTTCTTAACATTTGGGTTGCGACCCCTGGCCTAAGGGATGAAGAGAGTTGGAAAACAGTCATGCATGAATGAGGTCTGACTGTTTTTCATGCACGAATCCACACGGACTTCATAAGTAGACCACGGAGAAAAACAAATGAAATGCAAGAAAATTTGGGATATGAGCCGCAATGGAACTTGAGCTCAGCATAGGAACTGAAACTTCAGCTCTATTCTTCTCTTTTTGTCTAGAATATAGTAATAAACCTCAAAAGTCAGCAGTGTGACCAATCACAGAGCAGGGCAGATGCTAAATCAGCTGAAAAGCAACATTAAAGACAAAAATTGAAATAGTAACTTAATGTGAACGACCACTCATTACAGTGGATAGAAGTACAGTGTTTGAAAATGCTCAGGAAAGAAGAAATAAAAAAAAATCACCTAGGAAGGGAGCGAGACAAAGTGTAGGATACACTTGTGCATATAAAGGTAACACACACACACTTTGTGCATTGTTTAAGAAAGTGAAAGCACATAAAAGGGAGAAGTGAGTAGTGAGCTCAAGTGCATTAGTGTTCAGAGTAATCTGAAAGTGTCTCGATCAGTGAGATGTCAGTGTACTCACACACAGCTTATTTTTAGTCAGTGCGTTATTGATTATCCACCGTGTGTGTGTGTGTGTGTGTGTGTGTGTCCGTGGGTCATGTTCTAGTGTTCTATTGTACTATCAGAGTGTATCGTCACTGTTCACATTAGAATTGTGTCTGTATATATTGATCTGAGCCAGGTCATGTGGACCTCTGTAGTAAACACCCTCACCCCACCCCCACCCCCATTCACACACACACACACACACACACACACACACACACACACACACACACACACGCACTCACATGTACAAATACACCCGAACACACACACATGTATATTTTTAATATAAATACATTTACTTCTATTCGATAATAACTTGTACAATATCAGTTTAAACATTAACATTGCATTTCCTGAGGGAAGACACAGAAGACAGTAGCCATGGAAGTTTACACAAAACGAGAGAACGGAAGGAATGACGGATGAAATAAAGACATGAAGGGTTAATGTTATGTATAACATTTCTATATGATTATGATGAAAGGAAGAAAGAAGAAAAATAAAGAAAACCAAGAAGGAAAGGAAGGAATAAAAAGAAGAAAGTAAGGAAGAATGGAAGGACAAAAAAGGAAGATCAATGAAAGGGAAGACATGAATAAAGAAAAAAATAGACAGCTATCAAGCAGCTTATAGCACGAAGTTTAAAAAGCTTCAGCTTCAGAGTTCAAATGTTAAACTCTTAGAAAAATATTGAAATCTACAGTTTGAAATACAAAGATGGAGGAATAAAAGACATAAAGGAGGAACAAAGTCTGGGATTAAAAAAAATAAAATTAACGGTGTGGATTCATAATATTTAAAATTATTAAAAAGTTTGTGTAATTGTGTATATGCAGTCCCTATACAGTATTCTCTCTCTCTCTCTCTCTCTCTCTCTCTCTCTCTCTCTCTCTCTCTCTCTCTCTCTCTCTCTCTCTCTGTGTGTGTAGAAGTTGGAGGACACTGATAGGAAGTCTCGGTATCAGTTGGAGAACTTGGAGCGGAAGCAGAGGCACCTTCGCCGGCAGCTGGACTTCCTGCGAGGGACCTGCACACTCGGAGAGGCCGAGAGGATACGCACCGACAGCGTGGGCTCGACCCTCTGCTCCGAACGCTCCGAACGCTCAGACTCCGACCAAGGTGCGTATTCGCACATCAGGTTTTATTCAGTATCTCTTAAGCTGTCACTTTACACTACAGCTGGGTAATACAGCCAGCAAGTCTAGTAATGATGTACTTATTTGTATCAGTTACTATCAGTAATTATCAAAAATGAACATACATGTTTGTAGTGCTCAAAGATGAGTATATTGAACACTGAAGAAAATTAATACATATAAGTGTGGTTGTGCTTGTAAAAGCACCATGAATCATTAGAAAAAATGCAGATGAATGTAAATACAGTAAAAAGACTTTGTGTAGTTGACCTCTTTTGTTCTTTAGGGCGTGGATTACAAAGTAACAACAATTTCTTGTTCTCAAAAAAAAAAATCTTTTCCTAGACGCCCCAAATTCCATCACTAGCACACTTGATTTAGCGTTATGAAATACTGATTAGCTAAATTAGGTATTGGATGAACTACAATTAATGCTTAGCATCCTCGAGGAGAGTGAACTCTATTAATGTTATTCATATTTATGCTAATATAAGTGTTGTTCTGAACAAATAATACTTACGTCACAGATAAATGACTTCCGAAATCTCATTTTTTCAGATGCCTAAAGCTTTTGCACTGTACTGTAGGTGCAAAATAGCTTACTAGCTACTAGCTGTCCTGCTGATTTTTGATGTCATTAGTGAATGGCTAGACTTCTTCCCCCAAGTGAGTGAAAGGTACACATCAAGTGTACAAAAGTAGCAATTATTGAAATTTCAAGCTTTTGCAGCTTATAATGGATTAAAGAACAGAATGGGTTCATCGTTTTATGGAATACCTCAAGTACAGAGTATCATCAGTGTCGAAAACCAGCGCTAATGTTTTATCGTCCAGGCCTGTGTTACGCTGCATTATTAAAATAAGCCTTTTCTCACCTTCATCTCTCTCTCTCTTTCTCTGCAGAGGAGATCGAGGTAGATGTAGAGAGCACTGAATTCTCCCATGGAGAGCTGGACAGTGTGAGCATGGCCAGCACCAGCGACCTGGACGACCACAGCAGCCTGCAGAGCCTGGCCAGCGACGAGGGCTATTCCTCCTGCAGCCTCAAGCTGGCCTTCAGCTCCTAGATACACCCCTACATGCGTACACACTGTACCAATAACAACTACCAACAACCCCCCCATGAATCGACTCCATCACAGTCCCTCACACTCCGCCCCAGCGTCATCACCGCCCCACCCCTTCGACCAGTCAGAATCTGTCATGTCATTCAGGTGACCAGAGCACAAGCCTTGCACTCCAAAAAGTTAGAAGAGACTTCTTTTCTTTTGATTGGTTTTGATTGATGTTCCTGAACGTTTCGGCGCTCAGCGAACGAATACATCTGTTTCGGATTTCAGCGTTTTTATACAGTTTGTAAGGATTCACTGCATTCGTTGGGTTGAGAGATTGTTCTGAATGCATTGTTAGCTTTCGTTTAACCTGAGCTTTTGATGGAATTTAATTTAAACTTGATTATCAAATTTTCTCCCTCCTCTGCGTATAAAAGGCTTGTGAACTGGTCACCTGTCGGGACTTTCTCGAGCAACGAAGCAACAATCTGGACATCTGTGAACCAACGAAACGATTTGGATACTGAACCAATGAAACGATACTGGAACGCTGCACCCAGCATATCAAGATCAGCGGCCCCAATGTCTTTAGATCGTTTTTACGATTTTATAAGGCGGCTCGATACCGAGGCACGAACTACATCGATTGGTGCTACGTGAAACAAACCCAACAGCGCAGACGAGAAAGCCCTTCTTATGAGTCTGCAGCGTTTGGTCAACGAAAAAAGGGTGAATAGAGGAAAAAAACACATACAAAGATCATTCCCATGGATATTGGGAGGTTACCTTTTGGTGCATTTAAACCGCGGAAACGGCCGATGTTTCCGTACCGCAGCTACAAGCAACTCTGCACTGTCCCGCCGTAGAGCTGACCATAGAAACCGGCACAAAGCCCATGACGATAGACGTCCCGACTAGCAGTAACAAGCAATAACTCCTCTAGTCTCATCTCCACATTAGGGTCACCCTCCCCACCCCTCCTCTCTCTTTTTTTTTTTTTTTTTCCTCCTCCAAAGGCACTTTCAGTGTCCGTCCAAAAGAGCAAAATCCAACTTGCTTGGTTTTTTTTGTATATAATACATAAATAGTTTAATAAATTAAAACAAAAGGAAAAAAAAAAACGGAGTTTAAAAAATGGTAGATACCCATGGGTAGAACTATTGCCTCTGTTGCTGTTTGTCTTGTGTTTTTTGTGCATTTTAAATTATATTTTTGGAAAAATTTACTATCCTCCTCAGATGCGCTGGCAGAGTGGCATGGACAGTATTACTATTTTGTTTCATTCATTTTTTTAATTATACGCCCCCCAAAGTTGAAATTCAGTAGCGTCCCCAAACCGGACGACTTTTAACACACTCCCAAGAGCGACAAATGAGTATAAGGCATGCGGTGGGACCCTGAGACCCTGAGCACGGACCTCCTGTTTTTCGAAACCATGCTTCGAGTTGTGCTCTTATTATTTATTAGCTAGTTAATGTTTGTGTTTCGTTTCGTGTCGAAGCTGAGAGGCATTCCTACAGAAGAAAAGTACGGCGGCGCTGTGGATCCGGGGGTCGCCTTGCTGAGAGATTACCCATGATGCGCCTCGACTGGCCCCTTGCTTTTCCGCAAGTTCACTCGTTCGACTCAGTGGAAGGAATGAGCAGTCTGATTTTCATATTTATTTCTCCTCCCCGACACAACATTGGAAGAGAAGCTTAATTTATTTGTTATTCTTTTTTTTCTTTCTTTCATTTCTCTTAATGCTTTTGGTATGCATTCCTCTCCCGCTCAGATTTGGAAGTGAAGGGAGAAGCAGGCAGTAAATCAATTCAATGTGATGTTAAAATACATAGATATATATATATATATATAATTTTTTTTCCTTTGAACCTGAACTTGTCCTCCTTCCATGGCTGCTGTTCACCGTCAGATTCAGAAAGCGCTCAGCGACAAAACGTGTGGATGGAAGAGATCGTCCATCTGCTTCGAACCTTGTAGCGTGAGGTCACTTCTCAGCGTGGAACTGCGGAAGCTTTGACTTCAAAGGAACAACTTGAGTGGACTTGATACGGCTACCTGAGAACGCTAGCATAAGCGGTGGATGTCCACTTTGGTTCAATGTTAGCGTTACTGTTCTTGAATGAACAGAGCTGGACTGAACATGGTGCTGTTACACCAGGCCAAACTACAGAAGAACACTGTATCCCTCCCTTTTTCTCGTTTTTCTCCCCGGCTTTTGAGGACCCAACTACCTTTTTTTTTCTTTTGTCTCTTCATAATTTGTCCTTTTGTTCCTTTATTTTTTCTTTAATCTGCACTTAAACCAGGGCCCACATTGAAAACCAGTGCTTTCGAACACAACACTTGTCCCGCACCACCATACTATGGACACTAGTGCTGATCTGGAATCAGGTCGCCAAAACTGACCTGCAGACAGCACTGGATGGGTACGTCCAGTGGCATCAAGCTGCTCAGTCAAGCTGATCCAGGATCAGCCCCTGTTTGCCTATAATCCACTGGGATGCTAAATGTAAAACTGATCCTAGATCAGCGCCCTCATTCGTACAGCCGCTCGGGTCTGCGTAGCCTGTTTGCAGATCAGTCTCTTGCAACTAAAAGCAGTAAAAACCCGAAGGAATCTGATCTGAGATCAGCTCTGCTGCTCGCTGGCTGTGATTGGTGCATTTCCCCTCAAGTGTCGTAGCACAGAGCTCATTGTCAGCAAACGTCACTTTAAACGCTCTGTAACCGCGGCGCTTTTTGGAAAGCAGCCCTGAAGGCTTAGCTCTGAGAAGCTTGATGCGTGCTGCCCCCTGCAGGCTCTCTGAGTGAGTGCATGTGTTCTGAAAGCTTTGGTTGAAGGGGAATTCCACTGATATTTCAAAATTTTTGTATAACTCAGTCATTGAGTTGTAAACAAAGTCATTGAGTGATTTGATGAAGGATTGTCGAGAAACCTGGTGGTGATGGGAACCAGGGGTCATTTTATTTACTATCCAAAACCACCATTAAACCTGAATGTGTTCTGATTATTTTTATATACGGTATTGATTATAGTAATAGTGATATAAAAATAGAAAATAAATACTCTTTGGGGACTGTTTTGTCCTACTTGTACCACTCCGCCTTGAATGGCTTTTAAAAATAAATGTTTTAGGCCAATTTGTAACCATATGATGTAGTAACATTGTATGAGGAAGCTTTATTTACATCTTAACCATTTAATTATACACACATTTTGAGAAATTGGTGGAATTCCCCTTTAAGGGAGAACGGGCCTGAAGTTAGATAAAGCTATTCCGCCTGGGAGACGCCAGGCCCTGCTGAACTTTGTGGCCATTCTTTGTAAAACATGCACTCTGATTATAGCTGTAAGTCAAACTGCAATACTTACAATAAACACCAAGATTGTCAAATCTGAAGACCAAAACAATGTCTGTGTGTCTTTCCTGTCTGTTTTAACTGCCGCCTGCTTTTAAAGGACTGAATACAAAAATAGCAGCCATGAAGTCTCCGTTTTGTCTCTTTTGTCCATTTTTGAAGATAACATAAAATCTGAAATGTGGAAATTAATGGGTTTCATATATATGACATATATTAGCATATAGGGATTTCTCTTATATATCCAACTTATATTTGTTTCATACAGACATTACATGTGACATATACGCCAACTTATATGAAATCAGCACTTTCAAATATATTTTAAGCCATAAATCAACATGTGCAAACATCAACTTCTGTGTAGCACCTATTTAACAATACATGATAGAAAACATTCATATATAGGTATCGTATGTTACTCGGATATGTTGGCTTCATGTTATAGAGTGTATGGTTTTTATATATCTTCTTACCTCCTAATGAAGTGAAAATTAGTATAATAGCTACAAAATGTAAATATAAACAAAATGCAATGATATGCAGATCATTTAAACCTTAAATTTAATTCAATAGTACAAAGACAGCGTATCAAATGTTGAAACTGAGAAATTTTATTGTTTTTTTTTTAAATATTTGCCCATTTTGAATTTGATGCCAACAACAAGTTGCAATAAAGTTGGGATGGGAGCAACAAAAGGCTGGTAAAGTTGTGTAATGCTAAAAAAAAACACCTGAAGGTTATTTGGCAACAGGTCAGTAACATGATTGGGTATAAAAGAGCATCTCAGAGAGGTGGAGGGTTGGGGAGGGTTCACCACTCTGTGAAACACTGCAGGATCAAATAGTGCAACAATTCAAGATCAACATTTCTCAACATAAAATAGCAACAAACTTTTGTTTTTCATCATCTACGGTTCAAAATAACATTAAAAGATTCAGAGAATCTGGAGAAATCTCTGTATGTAAGGGACAAGGCCAAAAACCAGTATTTGCTGGCTGTGATCTTTGGGCCCTCAGATGGCACTGCATTAAAACCTGGACATGATTCTGTAGTGGAAATCACGGCATGGACTCAGGAACACTTATGAAAACCACTGTCTATGAAAACAGTTTGTCGCTGCATCCACAGATGCAAGTTAAACTCAAACCATAACAAGAAGAAACCATATATAAACAGGATCCAGAAACACTGCCACCTTCTCTGGGCCGGAGCTCATTTAAAATGGACTGAAGTGAAGTGGCAAAGTGTCCTGTGGTCCGACGAATCAACATTTGAAATTCTTTTCAGAAATCATGGACACTGTGTCCTCTGGGCTAAAGACCACTCAGCTTGTTATCAGTGCACAGTTCAAAAGCCAGTATTCATGATGGTATAGAGGTGCATTAGTGCGCATGGCATGGGTGACGAGCACATCTGTGAAGGCACCATTAATACTGAATGATATGTTTTGGCAACATATGCTGCCATCCAGACGACGTCTTTTTCAGGGAAGGCATTGATTATTTCAGCAAGACAATGTCAAACCACATTCTGCACGTATTATAATAGCAGTGCTCTGTATTAAAAGAGTCCGGGTGCTAAATTGACCTGCCTGCAGTCCAGACCTGTAATCACTGAAAACGTTTGGAATAACATCTATCTTGCTCAAGCTATATACACCATATGGCCAAAGGTTTGTGGACACTTGTTTATCCAATGTTTCATCCAAAACCAAAATTATTAATAAGGAGTTTGACCCCTTTGCTGCAGTAGCTGTCTCTGTTCTTTGGAGAAGGCTTTACACTAAATGTTGGAACATTGCTGTGACGATTTGATTGCATTCAGCAGCGGGAGCACTAGTGCGATCCGGTATTGATGTTGGAAGGTCAGTTCTGGATCACTCTGACTCATCCCAAAGGTATGGGATGGAGCTCCATCACTCTAGAGAACAGCTCCACTGCTCCACGGCTCAGTGCTGGGACGTTTCATTTCCCTCTAACCTACACTTGACACTGAGCATGTTGACATTAGGCTAATGTACAGCTGCAACAGAGCATCCTGTTCTACTGTCACTGCTTTTCTATGGAAAGTGAACAACCTGTGTGTACATTTGAATGCACCGTAATGCAGCTGAACTCACTAATAAGAAGGGATGTCCACAAACTTTTGGACATACAGTGCATATACTATAAATATTGAAAGAGGAGTGATTATTATTATTATACTATATATTATTTGTAATTTTGCTCCACGCTTTTAGTATTTCACTATACACTGATCAGGCATAACATTCTGACCACCTCCTTGTTTCTACACTCATTGTCCATTTTATCAGCTTCACTTACTATATAGGTTCTACAGTTACAGACTGTAGTCCATCTGTTTCTCTGATACTTTGTTAGCCCCCTTTTACCCTGTTCTTCACTGGTCAGGACCCTCACAGGACCACCACAGAGCAGGTACTATTTGGGTGGCGGATCCTTCTCAGCACGGCAGTAACACTGACGTGGTGGTGGTGTGTTAGTGTGTGTTGTGCTGGTACGAGTGGATCAGACACAGCAGTGCTGCTGGAGTTTTTAAACACTGCGTCCACTCACTGTCCACTCTATTAGACACTCCTGCCTTGTCAGTCCACCTTGTAGATGTAAGGTCAGAGACGATAGCTCATCTGCTGCTGCACAGTTTGTGTTGGTCATCCTCTGGTCCTTCATCAGTGGTCACAGGACGCGGCCCACAGGACGCTGTTGGCTGGATATTTTTTTGGTTGGTGGACTATTCTCAGTCCAGCAGTGACACTGAGGTGTTTAAAAACTCCAGTGTAGAAACAAGGAGGTGGTCATAATGTTATGCCTTTTCGGTGTAGTTTCACCTAAAGGTGCAGTGTGTAAGATTTAGTGGCATCTAGTGGTGATACTGCAGATTGCAACCAACTGAGCCTATGGTAGCGTTATGTTTTCGCTTATTTGATAATGAGGATTCACCCTCCTTTCCTTTTTTATTGCGCTAAATAATGAATATGATCATCCATTTGAATCTGTTGGAAGAGAACCCGCTCCCTATGTTGATATGAAGGGCTCATTCTAAACTAAACGTTTTTCAGTTTTTGACATAATTTGAAAATACCTGTTGCACTTTACATTGTGTGTACATTTCATGATGAATGAACCAAAAGAAACGGCTCAAAATCACTTGGAAAAAAACTCTGGTTCCATTGACTCACATTAAAAGTAAAGTATGTTTTTTGCTTCTCTTGTAAAGTTGCCATTTTGGAGATACGAGGTTTTGTTCCGACAACAGTGATACTAATGAAAACGTTACAGTGTAGTACATTCCACTTTCCACTAATAGATCCCCCCTAAATCTTACACACTGCCCCTTTAAGTAGAGTTTCCACTGTATTTAATTCTATGTAATACAGTGCTGTATGTAATTTCACCCCATTAAGAAGCCATGGAACTGTCCACGTATGTGGGCACAATGTGAGGAAGAGTTAAATAATAGTATTAAACAGTAAAACTGTTACTTTTCCATGCTGTATCCTGCAGTAACTCCAGAGCCATTTTGCTTTAGAACATATTCCGGTGGGTTTGTGGGCCAATCTGATAGCGCCATCTAAAGTGCAGAAGTGGTGTTGCGTGTTCCATCGAATAGTGGTCCTTTAATGGTATACAGTATGAGTTGTAATGTATTATACTGTGCAAAACTCAGAGACCACCCTTTTCATTTATATTATCCAGTCAAAACAGCCATGAGGTTACGTTCTTTCAGCATCAGGAAAAAAAGCAGAAACGTACACAGAAGCCTCAACAACTAAATATAATACTGTACACAATATGCAATACAATAATACAGCATTTTCAATATTTAGTGTGCACATGTTGCCTTTATCACAAGAAAACTTCCATTCTTTTCAGGAGACTCGCTTTCAGTTTCTCACAGAAACCTGCAGACACGCCTCCAAAGTTCAGTCTTAGAAGTTGGCTGATCATTTTCTGAAGTAATCAAACACATTCAGTGATGTTGAGGTCTGGACTCTGGGGTGGTCAGTCCATTGTTCAGCTTCTTTGTTTGATGTGTCCGTCTCCTTTTCTCAGTGAGGTTCTTCTTGACAGCTACACATCCTTTCAGACCCACAGCGCTGAGTCGTCTTCTCACAGTGGAAGGATGGACAGAAACACCTGTGGATGTTTTCAGATCTGAAGCAGCTTGATTTTCTCCTCTCTCTCAGAGATGAAAGCTTTAAGTGCTGTTTATCTGATGGGGGCAGTGTTGGTGTCTACCAGCTCTTCCAGGTGGTTGTTAGGAGCCCCATTTTCTCTTAATCTTAATCTTTTTTGACCTCCTGTTTTTTTTCATTTATTTTCCTTTGACTTGACTTTAAGTGGGTTTTCCAGGTGGTTGTTAGGAGGCCCACTTGCACATAATGGCCATTTTGACTGCAAAAAAAGGCAGATCTCTGACTTTTGTACTGTAGATATCAGTCAATAGATGAATAATAGTCCTCAGAACAGCTGCTTAGGCTTGCAATACGACTGCCTTGTCACTTTCCAAGAAATGTTGAACTGTGCCATTATTTACAGCAACATTTTCCTAGAACGCCACCTGACCAAGTAGACACCCATTAAAAACGTATAGGTTAAAAACAGAGAAATAGATCTAGACATTTTGTGCCATTTGTCTAGTATTGTTTCATCAAACCAGGCAGTCCCATGTGTCTCTAATAACTGTGTAGTTACAAATGAATAACATGTGCAACAACAATGCAACTACTCATGATTTAGTCAGGTTACAGATGGATTACAGAAGTATAGCCTATGTAATTACACATGTGCATCAACTTCAGTTCTTCTGTAATCTATCTGTAACAGTGTCTAAATCTTTAGTAGTTACATTGTTGTTGCATATGTTGTTCACTTGTAACTACACTGTTATTATAGCCACTTAATATAAAGTGGGACCAACTGGGCTTTGTTAACACGGGGATGTGCACCTGGCCTTAACTTGAACTGATTAGTCAGATTAACAGCAACATACTGAGCACTAACATGGAGTCACCACTAGATGTCAGTATCAGCCTATGAGTTTAGAAACGGGCAAGACTTTCCATCACATAGACTTTTAACCACTGCTTTAGATATGAATGCAAGTCTTTTTCCCTTCAAATGTTTTAGTAACGCTTTCTACTTTCCATCCTCTGGAGCTGGTGCACTGTTATTTATCAAGCTAGAAAGTAAATAATGATTGTATACTCAATTATTTGGTGAGTAATACACGCTCATAAATTAACCACTAGATGGCAGCATCAGTCTATGACTTTCCTGCTGACAGAAATTATAGAAACCTTTAACCCTCTAATTATATGATGTTGCCTGAGAGTAACAAACCTATTTTCATCATTTTACAATGATATGATACATATTTATCATCAATAAAATGAGTAATAATGAAGGGACTAGTTTGAATAAAGCTGTAAAATGATTTTACTTGCGTATTATATTCAACGCTGGGCCTTTTTATACCTTTTTCTGTAGATGACATGTTTCTACACCGGACCTTTTCCCTCAGAAAAGCAAGTTTTCATCATTTTTCATCCATCAAAGTTACGATTTGCATCTGTTGGATTGTGAAAATTCACTTTTGAATGAAAATTTTAAGGCACAATTGTTCAACTACAGGCAAAACTGTTTGACATGCAATAAAATAGCCAATAGCAAGTAAGGTGTCATTCATGCAGCCACTTGAGGGAACACTGCAGTTATTCTTTAGTTTTTCATTTAGGTTTTTTTAATTTTAGAATAATTTTGTGTTATTGTTTATTTTGTGCAATATTAGTGGCTTGAAGACCATTCTAGTTAATACAGTCATGTAGCATTCAGTATACATTATGTTTTATTAATTAAATGACTCTTTTATTTATTATGTTTTAGAATGCCTCAAACTGTTATTTGTGTTATTTAAAGTTAAATAAAATTAAATAGATTTGGTCTTTGTTACACCGTGTTGCCTCAAGGCAACAAATCCTAAAAGGACCTCTGCACACTTTATTTTTCAAAAACATTGCTGTCATTTTAATAATCAGTCTATTTCCTTTTCAAATATTTGCCTCAGTTTTTATATTGGAGGTCAGAGGCTTTGGGTTTGGAGGGCTTGGGGTGAAGATTTTGAAGGTTGGAGGATTTGGAGGGGAGGCTTTGGAGGGTGAAGACTTTGGAGGTGAGCTTTGGAGGTTGAAGACTTTGGAGGGTGAAGACTTTGGAGGGTGGAGGCTTTGGAGGGTGAAGACTTTGGAGGTTGGAGGCTTTGGAGGGTGAAGACTTTGGAGGTTGGAGGCTTTGGAGGGTGAAGACTTTGAAGGTTGGAGGCTTTGGAGGGTGAAGACTTTGAAGGTTGGAGGCTTTGGAGGGTGAAGACTTTGAAGGTTGGAGGTTTTGGAGGGTGAAGACTTTGGAGGGTGAAGGCTTTGGAGGGTGGAGGCTTTGGAGGGTGAAGACTTTGGAGGGGAGGCTTTGGAGGGTGAAGACTTTGGAGGGTGAAGACTTTGGAGGTTGGAGGCTTTGGAGTTTGGGGGTGAAGACTTTGGAGGTTGGAGGCTTTGGAGGGTGAAGGCTTTGGAGGGTGAAGACTTTGGAGGGTGGAGGCTTTGGAGGGTGAAGACTTTGGAGGTTGGAGGCTTTGGAGGGTGAAGACTTTGGAGGTTGGAGGCTTTGGAGGGTGAAGACTTTGGAGGGTGAAGACTTTGGAGGTTGGAGGCTTTGGAGGGTGAAGACTTTGGAGGTTGGAGGCTTTGGAGGGTGAAGACTTTGGAGTTTGGAGGCTTTGGAGGGTGAAGACTTTGGAGGTTGGAGGCTTTGGAGGGTGAAGACTTTGGAGGGTGGAGGCTTTGGAGGGTGAAGGGTGAGAGACTTTGGAGGTTGAAGACTTTGGAGGGTGAAGACTTTGGAGGGTGAAGACTTTGGAGTTTGGAGGCTTTGGAGGGTGAAGACTTTGGAGTTTGGAGGCTTTGGAGGGTGAAGACTTTGGAGGTTGGAGGCTTTGGAGGGTGAAGACTTTGGAGGGTGAAGACTTTGAAGGTTGGAGGCTTTGGAGGGTGAAGACTTTGGAGGTTGGAGGCTTTGAGGGTTTGGAGTGTCAAGACTAGAAGATTTGGAGTTTGGAGGCTTTGGGGGTCGGAGGCTTGATTAGCCAATTTTAAATGCCTGTATACGTTTCCACATCAACTCTACATACATTAATTCAATATAGAACCCATAAAGCCCCGCCCCCACTGATCTACAACACACACGGACCAGCAGTGACTGACTAGCTAGCGTCATCTCTTTCTCTTGTATGTAAGTAAACTGCTGTTGCTGGTCCAGAGTGTTTTTATTCAATGAAAACTAAGCAGTAGGTAGAAACGTAATGAGCGTTCAGATTCATCAGTAGGTCATTTTGTGAAAATGCGTGAGAAATGTCACGCGTGGCATGAGAGCGTAAGATTAGACCACATTGCGTGAGTCTTACGTCCAAATATCTGAGAGTTGTCAGCCCTGATGTTGGTATTGTAGCTGAATGTTCCCTCAGAAGCGCCTGTTTCTGTTCCTCGAACACTGCAGTGGATCCTCACAGGGAGAATGTGGAGCCTGAAAAGTAAATATGTATTTCAGTATTTCAGTTTCTGCCGGTTATCTGGGTAATGTTTTCATCTATGAGTCATAACCGATAGTTGCTGGGTTGATTGGCAGCTCGCAGTGTGACGTTGGCCCCCCCCCGGGGGCTCTCATGGTTTATGAGTCATCAGGTGCAATTTGAGATCTGTATTTACTCACTGAGACAATCTGTCAATCACAGCATCCGTACAGAGCCGGGGCTGAGATACATACACACGGCAGGGATTTCCTTCTTGTCTCAGACACTCGGAGAAACGTTTCTTGCTGTAAGAGCAGATCATGCAGCGCCCATGCTTTCACTTTTATGTCCTCAGCCTCACCCTGCTGAGGTAATGTAGGTGTGTTCCAAATTAACCACTGGCCCCCTACGCGGCTCATTCATATCTAGGGAACAGAATCTGGTGAACTGATCAGGTCTTAAAGGGACGAGATTTTTGCTAGAGCACAGAAGTCTGTGGCATTGACCATAAAACTAGAAAAGTGCATTTCCTGAAGAAAATGCAGTGTGACTGGTTTGCTAAGATGTTGTTAGGTGGTTGCTATGGTATCCCAGGTGGTTGCTTGGCGGATGCCAGGTGGTTGCTATGGTATCCCAGATGCTTGCTAATGTGTTACTAGGCGGTTGCCATGTTATCCCAGGTGGTTGCTAGGGTGTTTCTAGGCGGTTGCTATGATATCCCAGGTGGTTGCTAGCCTGTTGCTAGGTAGTTGCTAGGGTATTCCTGACAGTTGCTATGGTGTTGCTAGGTGGTTACTATGGTATCTCAGGTGATTGTTAGGCTGTTGCTAAGTGATTGCTATGATATCCAAGGTGGTTGCTAGGGTGTTGCTAGGTGGCTTCTGTGGTATTCTTGATGGTTGCAAGGTGATTGCTGTGGTATCCCAGGTGGTTGCTTGGTGGTTGCTATGGTATCCCAGATGCTTGCTAATGTGTTGCTAGGTGGTTGCTATGGTAAACTAGGTGGTTGCTAGGATGTTGCTAGGTGGGTGCTATGGTATTCCAGGTGGTTGCTAGGGGGTTTCTAGGTGGTTGCTACGATATCCCAGGTGGTTGCTAGGCTGTTGCTAGGTAGTTGTTAGGGTATTCTTGATGGTTGCTACGGTGTTGCTAGGTGGTTTCTATGGTATACAAGTGGTTGCTAGGGTGTTGCTAGGTGGTTGCTGTGCCAAGGTGATTGCTATGGTATTCCAGATGGTTGCTAGTGTGTTGCTAGGTGGTTGGTATGGTATCCCAGGTGGTAGCTATGGTGTTGCTTGCAGGTTGCTATGGTATTCCAAGTGCTTGCTAGGGTGTTGCAAGATGGCTTCTGTGGTATTCTTGTTGGTTGCAAGGTGATTGCTGTGATATCCCAGGTGGTAGCTAGACTGTTGCTAGGTGGTTGCTACGGTATACCAGGTGCTTACTAGGCTGTTGCTAGGTAGTTGCTATGACATTTCTAACAGCTGCTATGGTGTTGCTAGATGGTTGCTATGCTATTCCACATAGTTGCTAGGGTGTTGCTTGATGGCTACTCTGGTATTGCTGATGGTTGCTAGATGGTTGCTAAGGTATCCCAGGTGGTTGCTATGGTGTTTGTTGTTTCATGAAGTTTCGTCAATTTTTGATAACCCTAGATTCTTATAGCATGTTGTCTTGATATTCGTATCTATAATGTGGACATTTAGTCATTGCCAAATGGAGTGACGTGCCTCACAGTCTTGCACTCTGGGAAATTTAAGCTGATGTAACTAAGGCGTCCCAAACCACGCACTTCTATGGTTTAGATCACTACAGTAATGAATGCACTTCTATCTTTTACATACTACAGGGAGATTCACTCGAAAGAGGCCCCAAATATTCTGTTGTAACTCCCGTTAGGATGAAGCGATCTGAACCAAAAAATACGCTACATACCTTGACGTATGTGTAATCGATTGCATTACATGCAATACTGGAAGTGATCTCCGTTTTCTGCCAGTCATTGCGACACGGCGCTCCATGTTCCTGAATGTTCCTTGCCTGAACAACAGCACCTACCTCATCGCTCTGGCTTGTTCAAAGCTCCATATACTGAGGAGCTCATTGCACGTTGCTTCGTTCAGATTGCTTCGTCCTAGCAAGAGTTATTACTGAATATTCAGGGCCTCTTTCAAGTGAATCTCCCTGTATTTTGGGCTGTGGTGTGCAGTTGAGACATGGCCTGAGTGATTTTGACATTGCAGTATGACATAAATTGAAAGGGAAAGGCAAAAAAAAGTTCAGGCAGTAGTTTAAAGCCATTTAAAAAAAAATTACTAATACAACAAAACTGTGCTGCCCTCCAGGGACAATTCATTTTGAAAGAGAAAGAGATGAGCTGACCGTTTCATTTTATTTTACTTTCATTTTATTTTACTGACCAGAGGGGTGACAGAGCTTCACGTCAAGGTGGCACTGACCACCTCTGCCACCCCTGCCACCCCTTGGTTCCAGTGCTCCCAGAGTAATTTCTTCAGGGATACCATTAAACTGAAGCTTCAGTTAGTTTGCTATATAAAACAAAGATGCTCGGAACAAAGATCTCTCTACAAAAAGAGTAAAATGATGTCAGAATATCAAACACAGAACAGAGCAAGAAGAAAAAACTGACTTAAAATATGTACCGAGGTTATGAGGGATAATATGTGTATAGTAGACATTAACATTTCCCTGCTTCACTGTTACTTATGCCTGTTAAGGCTGTTGAATACAGTTGATGAAGAGTCACTTACTGATGGAGTCATTTCCTTTGTTTCATGTAATGAGTGGCTTTTACACAAAGTGCATTGCTGGACTGTGCATCATTGGATTGCTAAAAAAAGGGTTTATTGTCATTTCGATACAAGCCAGGCACAGTTTTATTAGGGAATTTCATCAACATGACTACATAAGGCCAGCCAACTAACACTGAACGGGACACAACACATTTCACTTCAGTTTGGATTTAGCACTTTCAATTGAAGAGTAATACAGTTTCAAACTTGAATATGAACATTTCATACTTACAAAGTGAACTGTAAATGTAATAAAACACAAATTGATAGTAAGAATATGTAAATAATTTTTTCAGAAAAAAAAATGAAGCATTACCTACTCAAAGAAGGAAATCTAGATATTACTCCAATAGCTGATTTCACGTTTGGTATCCCATTGGTAGAAAGTGTAATATTGTTTTATACTCTGAAGTTGTGGGTAGAGACATGCCAGCAATATAGTCAACATAAGTCAACAAGGGCAATCATTATGTTATAAAATGCCCACACGTGTACACTGTCCAGTATAATGTTGTTTTAGATGTGAGGCACTTCATAGATCTGGCTTGATACTCACTCACTCATTTACTCACATTTAGCAGGCTGAAGATTGTCCACAAGGGGGCGACATTAGTACTCCACTAGTTTTGGTGTTTTGTCTCAATGACAGTGTCCTAGTCTGTTCTTTTTAAGGCTTCTTTCCAGCTGATTTATCCATACAAAATGCTCTGTTATAGAAACTGTTTAGGATTCAACCTAACAAGAAACTGTAAGCATTTCAAATGAAAAACACCCCCTTTTTTCCACAAAAAAGCCCAAAATTGAGTAGTGAAGCACAAAAATGAAAATTCTTGAAACTAAAATTGAGACAAAAGAACAATATAATTTGCTTTTGTACTTATGTTTTTTTATGCTGATAATGTTTCAAAGATGATTACATTGGGAAAGATAACTGAAGGAGGTTTAATTTAATTTTGAACAGCTTATATGATTAAATATCATGAAAATATAAAGCTTTGTGATTTCTCAAAGGCCACTATAACAATGTAAAACATCGTTTTTAATATGTAAAGCTCGTTGACGTGGCTTTTGAACTCGCTGGTGATGTCTAGCAGTTTGAAGTTTCTCCAACAGGGGGCACTTTAGTACGCAGGTTGCTTTAGAGTTCATCATTTAGACAGAGGAAGCAGCCATAAACATAATGGGATCTAACAAACGCATATGTTAGCAGTTACAACCAGTGGTGGACGAAGTACACAGATCATGTACTGTTAAAGTAAAGTAAAGATATCCAAGGTCAAATATTACTCCAGTAAAAGTAGAAGTTCCTCCCTTTAGACCTCCAGTTGAGTAAAAGTACAAAAGTATTTGCCTTCAAATGTACTTAAGTATCGTAGGTAAAAGTACTAAAAGATTGATTACGACTCTGATGTCCTGTTATCATTTTTGTAACAAGACTCGCTTCATCAACTCATTTTAGGTGAAAATACTCCAGTGTCTCTCTTGGTAAACCAGTCTTTTAATAGAATGTCATTAATTAGTGACGCTGATGTCTATTAAAATTATCATAAGCACAAAACACTGAAGGTAAACAGTTTCCATCAGGTAGAACTGAGTGGCTCTGAAATCACTTTATACAAACAAGCAAAGTTTCAGTTTGAGATTTATTTACACTCAGTTACAAGTTTAAGTTTAATAAAAACTTTAAACTCAGATTCACAAATGAGTTTCCTTTACTAAACTGCGTCTGTAGGTCTCTGTTCATAAACATAAACTAGCCAAAACAAATTTACTATAAAATGAAATCGTGTTTGTATAAATTCAGAAAAAAGACACGTCAGTCACGACTGCATATGTGTACATATTTCTATACTGTGGTCTGTTTACACAAAGTTAGGTTAGTTCATCATTTATGTTGAATAGACACCCAAAATTTTATGCTGCTGCACTGATGTTGAACCGTGTGCTGCACTGGGTCGGTATGACCAACAGGTCAAAACAAGCTCAAAACTAAGTGACCGCTGTGCCCTGATTGGTGTTTTTGCTTCGCGCTTCTTTTGTTTTGACATGTTACGTTTTTATACACACATAAACCAAAAGGAACGACAGATTTCTCATAATGTAGTGGAGTAAAAAGTGAGATATTTGACTTTGAAATGTAGTGGAGTGAAAGTAAAAAGTCGCCCAAAATGGAAAAACTAAAGTACAGATACACGAAAAAACTACTTAAGTACTGTAACGAATTACATTTACTTCATTACTGTCCACCACTGGTTACAACTTTCAAAACCAGACACGAAGAAGTTTATTTCCAAAAGAAATTGTTTGTGATTTTCCCTTAAAGAATTTCTCGAGATCAGTTGTTGCTAAGAAGCTAATAAGCTGAACAGTGTCCTAAACGCAGCTGTAGTGGGCCCTGTTTTCATACCACTGCTGATCTGCTGCAGCTCAAACTGTTTGAACGTGTCTACGCTGACAGTTATCATTCAGATAATTGATAACAGTTTTGAAAATTAATTGTAGACCTATTTAATCTTTTGCTTTTTTTGGCCAAAATTGGTGGCAAATTCTTTGTTGTCGTTTCTAGCCTACCTAGCTAACAGTGCACACTTGAGTCGCTACAATTGCTACAATTTATTATTAGTTTAAATGTTTTTTTTGCCATTGTTCTGCAAATTCATAACAGTAGCTACAATAGTAGTGCAGTGCAGTAGCTGCAGTAGCTACAATAGAACGCATTTGTGGGCGGAGCATGGATGGATATTATCTTGCTCTGGATTCACTTGATGTGACTTGGTGTCTCTTGTCCTTGAACACTTGAAAGGAAACGATGTTACTCATCGTGTCCGTCAACGTCAGCAGTACTGCTGACCTCAGATCAGTCTGGAAGGCTCTGACTCACTGCACTGTTGATTCACGTGGTGGGGGGGGATACAGGGGGCTAAACACAGATACACGGTCAGCCTGGTCAGGCTCCTGCTCTGGGACCGCCACCATGAGACACTGAAAGCCACCGACCCCAGAACAGCCCGTGAAGTCCGTAATGACTCAGGGCTCGGTGAGAGGACGCGAAAAATCCATCTAGTTCCTGTGCTGAGAGGGAGCGGAAGATGAGCTCACCAAGCACTCCCACCAAACACGAAATGTGCCATATAGAACAATCAGAGAACACTCTTTCAGCGAGGGCAGGTCTATGGGCACTGTAAGAGTGGAGGGCACTAAAATGACCCCAGTTATTTTGTACACAACTTGTAGAATGTAGATGTACATGTTATTAACTAGACACCAAATGGGAGTTTTTGATATTTTGTTCAATATGTAAAAAGATATTAATGAATGTTAAATAATAAACCACTGTTATCTGTTTACAGCGATGGACGTGTTTCATTCTGGATGTTCATTTCCATAGAACTTCATTCTGGATATTCATTTTAATAGAATTTCATTCTGGATTTTCATTTCCATAGAACTTCATTCTAGATATTTATTTCCATAGAACCTCATTCTGAATATTGATTTCAATAGAACTTCATTCTTGATATCCATCTCAATAGAATTTCATTCTGAATATTCATTTCCATAGAACTCCATTCTGGATATTCTTTTTCCATAGAACATCATTCTGGATATTCATTTCCATAGAAATCCATCCTGGATATTAATTTCCATAAAATTTCATTCTGTATATTAATTTCCATAGAACTTAATTCTGGATATTCATTTCAATAGAATTTCATTCTAGATATTAATTTCCATGGAACTTTGTTCTGGATATTCATTTCAATAAAACTTCATTCTGTATATTTATTCCCATAGAACTTCATTCTATATATTCACTTCAATAGAACTTCATTCTGGATATCAATTTCCGTTGAACTTCATTCTGGATATCCATTTCCATAGAACTTCATTCTGGAAATCCATTACCATAGAACGTCATTCTGGATATTAATTTTAATAGAACTTCATTCTGGATATCCATTTCCATAGAACGTCATTCTGGATATTAATTTTAATAGAACTTCATTCTGGATATCCATTTCCATAGAACTTCATTCTGGATATTAATTTTAATAGAACTTCATTCTGGATATCCATTTCCATAGAACTTCATTCTGGATATTAATTTTAATAGAACATCATTCTGGATGTTCATTTCATTTGTTTCAGCTACATAAATATAGACGGCTTTTTACTATAGACCTCTTTTAACTAAATAAGCCTCAGAAATATGCACCCCTTTTAACCATAGACATTTTTCAACTACATGA